AACTCTATTTAACTCAGGTTTCTGTTTATTAATTATTAATTTTTTGTAGCAAATTTAGGTAAGCTAAACTAAAAGGAAATGTTTGCTAGAATCTCTGGGGATGAAAATATTCTAGGTCTCATCATCGCATCTGAACTAGAAAATGCAGCTCTACTGCTACTGGGATCCAGCTTGTACACAGGAGGCCAGCTTAAGGGCAATGCCAGAACAAAGGAGGATAGAGCTAAGAGAAGAGGTGAGGAAGGAATACCACCCCTAGAACCTAACTGGGGCTTCCCTGATAGTTCAGCTGGTAAAGAATCCACCTGCAATGCAGGAGACCCCATTCGATTCTTAGGTCGGGAAGATCCCCTGGAGGAGGACATGGCAACCCACTCCAGTATTCTTACCTGGAGAATTCCATGGACAGAGGAGGCTGGCGGACTGCAGTCCATCAGGTCACAGAGTCGGACATGACTGAGAGACTAAGCGCAGCACACAGCACACAATCTGACTTGTCTCTGAAGTTCCTCTTATGGTAGATAATAAATATCCTTATGATGCAAAACCATTTGAGCCAGGGTTTTCTATCACTTGAAACCAAAAGTACCATAACTGATTCAAGTTCTCTTTTATTCATACTTCTGCTATATTATTTATTGCTCTTCATCACAACTATTTATTCTGAATTTATCTTCCTAACTAGACTATTGTCTCCTTGCCTTGAGCTTGTCTTAGTTAACTTAATCTTTCTAGATAGCAGACAAAAGCTATTATATATAAAATAGATAAATGATAAAATCCTACTGTATAGCACAGGAAACTTTATTCAATATCCTATAATAAAACATAATGAAAAATAATGTGAAAAAGAATATATATACATGGGTATATATATATACATATATATATATGCTTTTATATATATATATATAAAACTGCATAACTGAATCACTTGACTGTACATCAGGAACTAGCACCACACTATAAATCAACTATACTTCAATAAAAAAAGAAATGGACAAAAAACCAAATAATCATAACTGTAACACATGCTTTAAAAAAAAAAAAGTATGCAGTGTACCAAATAACCAGAAATTAAGAGGTCAGCAAAACCTGATAAGTTGGAATATTTGATGAGCTACAATATATGATGAACCAAGTGACACAGCCCCAAGTTCAACCAGGAAGTTTGGGGGAGTTTTGACCATCTATTGGGACACCACTGTGAAGACTGGTTGGACTTAGTTGTTAGAGCATCTAAATCCAGGAAATCTGGGCATTCACTACTGGATAAGGCTCATCTCTGGAATAATCTGAATGAAATAGAGCTGGTTGGGAGTTAGGTTGGTGGGTTTCTGTGGACTGGCACACCTGCAGTTGGATGTGGCCTCTGAGCTCTCCCTTGCTTGTTTCAAACAGTGGGAAATACCAGTTCTGTAAAGCACTCTGCCTACTTTGCTCCCATTCATACTGGGTCCATGCTAGCTGCTGAAAACTCTAGCGCCACCATTTCTTGCACAGTCACCAATCAGACAATATTCATAGAGGCCTACAATGTGCCAGACTTTGTGCCAATCTGTGAAGATATTGCAGTGCTGCAAGAGGCAAGGGGCTTACTGCCTGATTCAAAGATTTCCAACTTCCTTGGTTCACAGTAGTTTATTTGTTGGTGTCAGTAGTTTATTCACAGCACCCTTAGGCTGAAAGAAATTCCTATCAGTTCCTTTTTCTTAGAAGTTAGATCCAAACAACTTCTGTCTGAACAACTTAGTAGCTATTTTAAGATACAACTCTAAATTAAGGGGGCTTCCCAAGTGGCTGTGGTAAAGAATCTGCCTGCAATGCAAGAGATGCAGAAGACGTGGATTTGATCCCTGGTCTGGAAGCTCCCCTGGAGGAGGAAATGGCAACCTGTCAGGAAGCATTTAACAAGAGGCTTCCTGTGTGCTGTTAGGGATCTGTCAGGAAACCTTTGGCCCTTATTAATTCCTGAATACTCAGGAATTAAGAGGAGAGGCACGCCTTTCTGGGGCTGAGGAATCCAGGCATTTCCTTTGTTAGTTTCTCATTATGTTGATAAGTACCCTCCTCTCTAACAGGGATCGCCTTGTGTTTTGTAAATCTGGAATTTTAATCTTTATCTTTGCTGAGAATAACTACAGTATATATGCCCATGCCATGTTGATTAAAACACCTTTGCTTCATCAGAGTTTTGGTCCCTGTGTCTTTCTTTTTTTCTCTCTCTCTCTCTCTCTCTCTATTTCCGGCTGTTTCCCTGGAGCGCAGAAGCCAGCTTCGTAACCCAAGGAATATTAGCCTCTTTCCTTCTTTCACTTTCTCATCGTCGACTCCGGACCACCAGGTTCCAGTCCATTAAAGGACCAACAGCAACCCACTCCAGTATCCTTGCCTGGAAAAACCCATGGACAGAAGAGCGTGGCGGGCTACAGTCCGCAGGGTCACAAAGAGTCAGATATAACTAACACACACGCACTATAAAAGAAAAAATAACATCTTTATTTCACCCAGGGCATGCCTACCTGTTGGACACTGCACAACTTCTCCAATCTTGGAATCAGATTGGACATCGCCAACCTCATTCCCTAAACACAGTGATTTTTGTGAGGTTCTAGCTTTTTATCACAATCGTTAGAAACCCAGCTTGGCAAAGATATGACATCATTCAAAATACAGTGAAAAGAAATGCAGTCGAATGGAAATCATGAACTACCTCCACTCATAAGAAGGATGTCAAACAGATAACCTCTATTTCCCTCAAGTATTTAAAATATGCTACAGTGCCCCTGACAGTGCATCTGTGGTACCCCAGCACTGGCAGATCATGACTTAGAAATAGGTCTATGATTAGAACTGTCCAAACCCACAGCAGAGTTTCTCAAATGAGGAGCACTTAAACGTGTGTTCATTAATGTATGTCTTTACACAGCCGAAAGCCAGAGGGTTCGGGATCAGTCTCTGCGTACTTTGTGACAGAGTGAATTCTCTGTGCTAGATAAGGGTGATCCCGAAGTTCTCCCACTAAACAAACACCATAAATTTTGTTGTTGGTTAGTCGCCAAGTTGTGTCCGACTCTTTGTGACCCCATAGACTGCAGCACACCAGGCTTCCCTGTCCCTCAGTACCTCCCAGAGTTTGCCCAAATTCATGTCCATTGAATCGGTGATGCCATCCAACCATCTCATCCTCTCTCACCCTCTTATTTCTTCTACCTTCAGTTTTCCCCAGCATCAGGGTCTTTTCCAATGAGTTGGCTCTTTGCATCAGGTGGCCAAAGTATTGGAGCTTCAGCATCAGTCCTACCAATGATTATTCAGGGTTGATTTCCTTCAAGATTGACTGGTTTGATCTCCTTGCAGTCCAAAGGACTTTACAGGATCCTATTTTCTAAACCACAAATCCAGAAACAAAGGTGGGTGAACTTTTAAAGACAAAGAACCTGATTGTTGTCTTGTTCTGCCCTGGAAGGCTTGGACACGTTGTCACCATCTATGAGAAACCCCAGTACAAGACCAACCTCCAAGTCCAGGACTAGCTGAGTCTCAAAGAGGCTGCAGAAATTCCTAAATTCCCATATGCATGCTTGTCTACAGCCTGCCCCAGGAGAAAGTAAGGTGGCATAGAAACATGCTCAAAAGACTACCTGGTAGGTAGTCCTACTATAGGACTTCTACAAAACTGATGCAAAGCCATTTAAATCCATTTTTCTCATCCTTCTCAATCCATCATTTACATACATACATACTCACACAGAGTCATCTCACTTAAGGACCCTAGTAAATAGCTTTAGCACAACAAAAGTTTGAAGAAAGAAAACGGACTCCTGAAACAACCTAGCACATTTATAAATAGGTTTATTATACCAGCTCTTAAAAAATATAATTGAGGGAATTTTCTCAAGTGATAGCAGTGGTCCATACTTTTACGGAGTTGTGGCTCAGTGGTAAAAATATGCCTGCAATGCAGGAGACACAGGAGACTTGGGTTGGCTCCTGGGTCAGGAAGATCCCGTGGAGGAGGGAACAGCTACCCATGCCAATATTCTTGCCTGAAAAATTCCATGGACAGAAGAGCCTGGGGAGTTACCAGCCAGGGTGCTGCAAAAGAGGGACTGAGCATGCAACAATAAGTGGGTAACAGGGGTGAATAATTAGGCAAAACTCACCTAACTGTGGACAGATGCACTGATTCTGATAGAGTAAAATGTTAACTAACAGTAGAATCTAGGTGGTGGATATAGAAGTGTTCACTGTAAAATTCAACTTTCTGGGCATGTTTTTAAATTTCCATGATCAAGTTTTGATAAATGTTTAAATTTTAACTAAAAATAAAATTTAAATCCACGCTTAAGATTTGTACATTACAGTGTATGTTAATGATAGCTCAAAAAAAAAAAAAAAACACGCGAGAACTGAGGAGGGAGTGGATTTAAACCAGACTAAATCTAGCAGATCATAAATACGGATGTGCTTGGTAGACAACTGATTCTCGTAAGAGCTAACTTCAGCCCAGATGGCTACGGAGGGCGGGGGCTTTCTTCATATTTAACTCCTTTCTCGCCTTCGGTATCTCGCTCTCCTCTTTTCTCTCTTCTCTCTCTTGCCTCCCGATCCCCCCTCCCCGCCGTCTCCCGGTCTCTGTCTTTCTCCCTCCCACCCTGTCTCATCTCTGTCTCTGTCTCTCCGCTCCCCGTCTCTCTCTGCGTCTCTGCCTCTCTTCTTTCGTACCATGAGCGGCTGAGTCAGAAAACTCCAGAGTGGTTCTGTACCCTCCTGCAGCTTCGGAACCACCGGAGCCGCGTACAAAAGGAGATTCTCGAGGTCTTGCCTGAGACCCGCCGGGTGCACCTTAGGCCCCGGAGCTCCGCCCCGAGCCTGGGCCCCGGGCAGCTCCGCCCCGCGGTGAGCTCTGCCCCCTGCGCTCCGCCGGGCGGCGATCCAACCCACCCAGCTTCCATCCCGCTTGGTCGCTCTCCCGGGGTCCTCGGACGTAGGGCGCGATGGCAGCCCCCTCCGAGGCCCCGGTCACGCGGCAGGTTAGCGGGCACGCCGACCGAGCCCCAGTCCCAAGCGGCCCCGAGAGCTGGCAGCCCCTGGCCGCCGCCGTGGCCGAGCTGCCCGTGCTGGACGCCTCCGGGAGGCCTGTGCCGTTTGGTGAGCTGTTCCGAGAGCGCCGGGCTATCGTGGTCTTCGTGCGGGTGAGCACGGGCGGCGGGACGATCCGGCGCAGGGACCTCACCTGCAGGCAGGGACGGAGGTTGTTTTTCCAGGGCGTCCCCTCGGGGGAGTTACATCGGGCCTCAGGAATGGTCCAGGACGGGAGAACGGAGGCCGCCGGGCCTGACTCTTTTCCTGTAGTGGTCATCCGCTGAAGGTGGTGGAAGGCGGACTCCGCTCTCGCTTCCTTGAACGGGAAAGGAAAAGCAGCCCGCCACGCCAAGGCCATTTTCTCAGCGAGCCAAGAGGCCTAATAGAGACTGGGTGGGGCCCAATTTCAGGGCACATTTGGGCACCCTTAACATCTCTAACCGTCTTGGGTGTTGCATTTGGTTAACGTCACGCATAATTAAGTACTTGGTTATTTCTGACTCCGAGAGTGTTAGTTGCTAACTTGTCCTTTTTGCCTGTGTTGGGATTTCAGCATTTCCTGTGTTACATCTGCAAGGAATACGTAGAAGATCTGGCCAAAATCCCCAAGAGTTTCTTACAAGTAAGTTTTCCGAGAGTGAGCAGCAGTGTGCCGTGCTTCCGGGGAGGCCTGGTGAAACTCACCTGCCATTTATGAGGAGTGTGATGGCATGAGGTGCGGCATGCGCCGCCTCTCCAGCGCAGACGCTCAAACCCAGATTATCACCATCCCACACATCACCCCAACACGTCCAAAAAGGGAAGAGACTCATTGGAAGTGTATTTCTGTCCTATTCATTACTGCCTGATTATAAAAGTACTAACCATAATAATAATTTTGATGTTACCTAATAACCTGCCTATTCTCAAATGTTGATTGATAATTACCAAAAACAGAAATGCTAGAAATATTTTTTCTTTAGTTTTGTAATACAGACACTCCAAATAGTTGTTCATTACAGAAAGTTACTAGTATAACTTAAAGGTGAAAAATTTGTATCCTTAATGGAATTACAATTCCACATTCTTGTGACAACCACGTACAGGTGTATTTCTTCAAGCATATGGAGGTTTGTCCCCAGGTTAGCTCTTTAGTGAAAGCATTGGTAGCTTCTGTAAAATTAAGATCTGTTTTCAGCAGACCTTGTCAATTGAGATGTGAAAGAATAAAGTTGTCTGATTAAATAACCCTACTTTAATAGTTTTTATTCTAGTTTAATGTATGCCATTGGGGAAAGTGTAAATAATTACTGACTATTATTTTTAAATTCTTACTTAGCAAAAGAATCATCTGAATTAATTGAATATTTTAGCATAATTGCTTTGACTCACACAATTTGGCTGTTTATACCATTCTTCTGGAAGCCTGTAGGTGGCATTAAAATGGAAGAAAAGAGTTGGATTAGGGGAAGTTATAATTAGGGGAAACATAATTTCTAATAATATTTACATTTCCTTTTTCTCTCCTAAAGGAAGCAAATGTCACTCTCATAGTGATTGGACAGTCATCCTACCATCATATTGAGGTAAATATATAGCCAATTGGGACCCTAACAGGTTAAATCGGTTTTAGACATAAACATTATACAATTACTTGAATCACTGAAGTGTTAGTCACTCAGTCATGTCCAGCTCTTTGCAACCCCATGGACTGTAGCCTGCTACACTCCCCTGTCCATGGAATTCTCCAGGCAAAATGGGTAGCCATTCCCTTCTTCAGAGGATCTTCCTGACCCAGGGACCGAAACTGGGTCTAAATTTGCTAAAATTTAGTCAGATTATCACTATTTTTCTTTCATTTGTCTTGGTAAAAATTCCAACAATACTTTTTTTTTCAGCCTTTCTGTAAACTAACTGGCTATTCTCATGAAATCTATGTTGATCCTGAGAGAGAAATTTATAAAAGATTGGGAATGAAAAGAGGTGAAGAAATTGCCTCCTCAGGTAAGGCATGTCTCAAGTAGGAAATGCTAATAGTGTATTTCACATTTCACATAAGCATATATATGCATAGGGGAACAAATGGTAAATTCATAAATCAGCCTGCTCTTTATGATTCTAGTAAGTGGTCCAGATTCACGATACTCTAAAAGATTCATTTCCTGGATGTAATGATGTGGAAGGCTGTTGATGAAGTTCTAAATGAATGAAAAAATGCAAGTTGCAAAGCAGTGTTTTCAGTATGATTTCATTTTTGTGAACATAAAAACCATTTTCATAAACATAAGTATCTATACTATTATATATGTGTGTGTAATGAAAATTGTTTTAAAAAAGACACTGCAATGTTTACCCCAAGACATAGGAGTGAGAAAAGTGGCTTTTGTAATTTTTTTTAACAATGAGTATATTTTACTTTGTAGTTAAAAGAAAAATAATATTGCTTAAGTTAATATATTTTCATACCTCAACACCATGGCTTTGAACACTCTTATGTTCTTTAACTGATTAAATCTTAGTTTTCATCTAAAGCCCAACTCAAAGGGGCTCTAAATAGCTCTACCAGCAGAAGCAGTTTCTTCCCTCATTGTTTTTTAATAGCACCTTATACTTTATTATATACTCTATGATTGAACTTAAGGTGATTAGTAGTATAGTTAGTTGAAAGGTTTGATGTTTTATTCATCTTTATATGGTCCACATTCCCTGCCCTTGCACAATTCTTTGTAATTAAAAGTACAATAGGCTTTAGGTGAACTATTTATGTGTTTTAGATAAAAGGAACTTGGCTTCTGAAATACCAAACAAGAGAACTAAGCTAGAACCCAGATCACTTATTCTCAACAAATGTTGAGAATGACACCCACTGTGTTGGCTATTACTGGGACAACTGAGACAAGAGACACAGCAACTGCCCTCCCAATGCTCATAATCTACCCTGGGAGAAAGAAGCAAAGAGTTAATTACATTACCGCTTAGAGCTTGTAAAAGACGAGAGCATGTACTGGTAATAGCGATAATGCAGAAATGCCTGTAACAACAGAAATGCACAGGGAGAGAAGAATCTGGGAGGGCTCCTTAGAGATGGTGTTGTCTAAGCTCACTCTTTAAGGAGGTAGCTGGGTGAAGTGAGGCTGGGAATGCTGCAGCTGACAGAAAGTAGCACATCGGTATGAAAAATTGTGACTCTTGGAGAACTGCAGTTCTCTATGTCTGGCCAGTTGGGATTTGTGTGAGCCAAGGGACTGAGTCTGGGAACAAGCCAAGGAGTTTGGATTTGTTCTCAAGGCAGTGGGGGAGTCATAAAAGTGTTTGAGTGGAGAAGTCTTGTTGCCAGGTATAGGAGCAATTGGAACATGCCAAATAGGAGGTATCAATTGTAATTGGTATTCTTGACAAGTTTTTAGTAATAGGCTGGAAAGAAATGACAGGGCCTGAAGTAGAGACATAAAGGGAGAGATCACAGAGCTGCTACTTATAAAGCGGAGTTGACATGATCCCTTCCTTTCAGTTCAGTTCAGTCACTCAGTCGTGTCCGACTCTTTGTGACCCCATGAACCGCAGCACACCAGGCCTCCCTGTCCATCACCAATTCCTGGAGTCCACCCAAACCCATGTCCATCGAGTTGGTGATGCCATCCAACCATCTCATCCTCTGTCGTCCCCTACTCCTCCTGCCCTCAATCTTTCCCAGAATCAGGGTCTTTTCAAATTAGTCAGCTCTTCCCGTCAGGTGGCCAAAGTATTGGAGTTTCAGCTTCAGCATCAGTCCTTCCAATGAACACCCAGGACTGATCTCCTTTAGGATGGACTGGTTGGATCTCCTTGCAGTCCAAGGGACTCTCAAGAGTCTTCTCCAACACCACAGTTCAAAAGCATCAATTCTTCAGCACTGAGCTTTCTTTAGTCCAACTCTCATATCCATACGTGACTACTGGAAAAACCATAGCCTTGACTAGATGGACCTTTGTTGACAAAGTAATGTCTCTGCTTTTTAATATGCTATCTAGGTTGGCCATAACTTTCCTTCCAAGGAGTGTCTTTTAATTTCATGGCTGCAGTCACCATCTGTAGTGATTTTGGAGTCCAAAAAAGTAAAGTGAGTCACTGTTTCCACTGTTTCCCCATCTATTTGCCATGAAGTGATGGGACCAGATGCCATGATCTTAGTTTTCTGAATGTTGAGTTTTAAGCCAACTTTTTCACTCTCTTCTTTCACTTTCATCAAGAGGCTCTTTAGTTCTTCTTCACTTTCTGCCATAAGGGTGGTGTCATCTGCATATCTGAGATTATTGACATTTCTCCCAGCAATCTTGATTCCAGCTTGTGCTTCATTCAATCCAGTGTTTCTCATGATGTACTCTGCATATAAGGTAAATCAGCAGGATAACAATATACAGCCATGACGTACTCCTTTCCCAATTTGGAACCAGTCTGTTGTTCCACGTCTAGTTCTAACTGTTGCTTCCTGACCTGCATACAGGTTTCTCAAGAGGCAGGTCAAGTGGTCTGCTATTCCCATCTCTTTCAGAATTTTCCACAGTTTATTGTGATCCACAGAGTCAAAGGCTTTGGCATAGTCAATAAAGCAGAAATAGATGTTTTTCTGGAACTCTCTTGCTTTTTCGATGATCCAGCGGACGTCGGCAATTTGATCTCTGGTTCCTCTGCTCTTTCCAAATCCAGCTTGAACATCTGGAAGTTCACAGTTCATTTATTGCTGAAGCCTGGCTTGGAGAATTTTAAACATCACTTTGCTAGCATGTGAGATGAGTGCAATTGTGTAATAGTTTGAGCATTCTTTGGCATTGCCCTTCTTTGGGATTGGAATGAAAACTGACCTTTTCCAGTCCTGTGGCCACTGCTGAGTTTTCCAAATTTGCTGGAATATTGAGTGCAGCACTTTCACAGCATCATCTTTCAGGATTGAAATAGCTCAACTGGAATTCTGTCACCTCTACTAGCTTTGTTCATAGTGGTGCTTCCTAAGGCCCACTTGACTTCACATTCCAGGATGTCTGGCTCTAGGTGAGTGATCAAACCATCGTGATTATCTGGGTCATGAAGATTTTTTTTGTACAGTTCTTCTGTTCCTTTACTAATGTTTTTAAAGAAAGTGACCTAAACTTTATTAAGACTACTGATGAGGTAGCGTAGAGAATTTGTTCTTTTTTTCCTCCTCCCTTTTTAGTATAGGTAATTGCAACAGTACAGATTGTAAACCTTAATCTTTGGTAGACTGTTTTCCTGTGCTATATCAGAGCTTCAGCATGTGTAAGGTCTGTTTATCATTTAGCTGCTTTTGATATAAACTGTGAGTTTTACTTTAGTAACACCTCACCAGTCATTGCCTCAATAAAGATAGAGAATTGCAAAGAAAACAGATGAATTTAAAGCAAAATACATGCTTATAATTATAAAGAAAGTATATTCAGATCATTTAAACTCCTTTGATCTGTGTCAAACAACTCTTTTTCCAAACAGAAAACATTAGGTTCTCATGAAATGATTTTTTAAAGTTCCCACCTGAAAAAGCACAAGTCTTAGAATCAGTCTCAGAATAATCCTACTTGAAAACAACACTGAAAATAAAATGTAATAATTTAAAATTAATGGGACAGGTTATAAAGACAAACAATAAGAAAATAAAGCCACTAAATTCAAGGAAGTAATGGGTTTACCTGGTATTTCATTTTGCCTTACTTGATAATAAGCCAGTTTATGGTATTAAATCTATAGTGATTGCTATAGACAGCAGATAAGTGCATGCAGGAAACATGCTTCATATAATACTTAATCTAATATTTCAAATTCAAATTCTGGTCTCGAGTCCAAGAATCAAAGTAAAGGGGAAAAAATTTTTTAAAAAGCAGGAGTTTTACACATAAGTAAATTCATACTGGCAAAATTAGATTGTGCTTTACAACCAAGATTGTGAAATTCTAGGTTGTGGAATCTTCTATTGAATTTTTAAAATTTCAGAAATATTAAATGACCCTTCTTTGGACATAAGGGGATAGTTTGGATTTATGAACATTTAGGTATAAAATCCTAAAAAAACATAAACTTTAGTCCTTTACCCATGTCTCTAAGCTAATGAGAATGTATTTGTTTCTTGATAAGATGAATGTCCATCCTCTTATAAACACCAAAGAAATAGAAAAGTTGGAGAGATGAAGAATACAATAAGTATCTGGAACTAATAAAAAATCAGGCAGGTCAAAGGCAGCATAATCATTAAAATAAAAAGCCAAAAGCACTAGTTGAAGCTGGACCACAGGGCTGAGGGTGACTCTGTGCTGTGACTCCCACAGGAGAAGATAAATGGGACTGGTAACTGGTGTACACTGGTTGACATGCACCTGGAGAGGCAGACTGTGGCAGGCAGGAAGACCGGGGCTGCAATGTCTCACTGCTCCGTCATTCTCTGGCCTTAGAATTGGTGGAGTCCAAATTTTTTTTTAATAAAAGGCAGGGGTAGGAAAAAGATAAGTTATAAGACAGGTAGTTTCTTTACTCAAAGGTAGTGAAAGTATCAGTAACTGTGAAAAAGGAAATAGAAAAACTGACAAGCAAAGATGGAGAGGTAGCTATAGTTACTGTTGTTACAGCTAAACCTCAAAGTCTCAGTAGCATAAAGTATGAGGTTAGTTCCTTTTCATTCACATTTCAAGAAGGATATTTCTATTGGGTGCTTCTCCAGCTATTGAGGGACACAGTAGGAAAGACTCAGGCCTCTTCCATCATGTGGCTCTGCTATTGTCAATCCAAACTTCAAAGGATGTATTTAGGTTGGTGCAAAAGTAATTGGTGTTTTAGACCATGAATTTTAAATCATAACGAGACTCAAACACATCTTTATTAATCAAAGTAGGAATCATTACAATCAAACACATTTTTGCCAACAAGAAATAAGTTGGTTTATTCCTGTAGTGTAAAAATCCATTCTTTGGGATTCAGTGAACTCTTGGAAAGCATTTTCTGCCTCCTGCTGGTTGTGGAAGCATTTTCCCCTGCAAAAAGTTGTCAAGATGCTTGAAGAAGTGGTAGTCAGTTGGCGAGAGGTTAGGTGAATATGGCGAATGAGGCAAAACTACATAGCCCAATTTGTTCAACTTCTGAAGTATTAGGTTGTGCTACATGCGGGCATTATCATGGAGAAGAGCTGGGCCCTTTCTATTGACCAATTCTAGGTGTAGGCATTTCAGTTTTTGGTGCATCTCATCAATTTGTAATGGTTTCGCCAGGATTCAGAAAGCTTTAGTGAATCAGACACCACCAGTGACCATGACCTTTTCGTGGTGCAAGTTTGGCTTTGGGAAATGCTTTGGAGCCTCCTCTTGGTCTAGCTACTGAGCTGGTCATCACCAGTTGTCATATAAAATCCACTTTTCGTTGCACATCACAATCCAATTGAGAAATGCTTCATTGTTGTTGCATAGAATAAGAGAAGACAACACTTTAAAATAACATCTTTAAACATTTCCGATCAGCTCATGAGGCACCCACTCATTAAGCTTTATCACCTTTCCAATTTGCTTCAAATGCCCAATGACTGTACAATGGCCTATGTTGAGTTCTTTGGCAACTTCTCATGTAGTTTAAGAGGATCAGCTTTGATGATCTCAGTTGGCCGTTGTCAACTTCCGATGGCTGGTCACTACATTCCTCATCTTCAAGGCTCTTGTCTCCTTTGCAAAACTTCTTGAACTACCACTGCACTGTACATTCATCAACAGTTCCTGGGCCAAATGCATTATTGAGTTGTTTCTACTGCTTTACGATTCATTTTAAACTCAAATGAGAAAATTGCTCATATTTGGTTGTCTAACATCATTTCCATAGTCCAAAATAAATATGAAATAAATAGCAAGTAATAAGTCATTAGCAAAAAAACATAAAATGAGCAATGTGCATTAAAATAGTGTATAACATATTTATTTTATATGTTATATATATAACATATGTTATAAATATGTTATATTTATTAACATTTATTAAGAATGTATTCCAATATCAAATGGCAAATTTCAGCAATGCAAAAACTGCAGCTATATTTGCACCAACCTAATAGAAGAAACATGGATAATCACCTCTGGAGAGGTTTTTAAGAGATGCCATGGAAGTGGCACACATTATTTTACTCACTGGTTTGATTGTAGTCATATAGCCATATCAAACCCCAGGAAGACTGGGAAATGTTTAGTTGTGGTCCCAGAAAGAGTAAACAAGTTTCGACCAGTATATAACAGTAGTCTGTGCCACAATGTCTTCTGAAGAGGAATGTAGGTATCTATTACTAGGTAAGAGACTAAACCAAATATAAATGGGGGATTAAAAAGGAAAGTGCTGCCAGCTTGAGAAGTCTATAGCTGACATTTTTCAGTGGCAGAAAATGATCTGGGTCTGTCTTCACTTCTTTTAAAGCAATAGTTCTCAACTGGAGACAATTTTGACCCCTTCCCCCAGGGGATATTTGGCACTTTCTGGAGACATTTTCAGTTGTCACAGTTTGGTAAATGGTGGTTGCCATGGCATGTAGTAAGTTCAGAGAGCACGGATGATGGTAATCACTCTACATTACTCAGGACAAAGACTTATCTGGTCTAAAACATCAGTAGTGAAAGACTGAGAAACTCTTCTTCAAAGGAAGAAAAAAAGGCAAGTCAAAAGTAAGATAACTCATAAGAGAGAGTCTGTTTTCTAAAAATACTAACATTACCTTAATATCAAGTCAAATATAAAGTGACAACATCTAAAGACAATTCCTAATATTTCAGGACAGAGCCCCCATGTAAAATCAAATATACTCTCGGGAAGCATTCGGAGCCTGTGGAGAGCAGTGACTGGCCCTCTTTTTGATTTTCAAGGAGATCCAGCTCAGCAAGGTGGAACACTCATTTTAGGTCCAGGTAAGCATCAAAGCTCAGCTTCAGCAGTGTGCTTTTTATGCTTTTTGAAAGCCAAGAGGCCATCCACTTTCTTTATGAAATAGCCACCATGTGACATTGGGCAGCTGGACATGGTAGCAGTCAGGATACTGTGCTTTCCTAGGGGACATTGTTTGTTTTCAAACACTCCTGTATATTTTTGATGTCTGTTTACTGGATGTACTGTGGCCATCATTCCATGCCTGAGTGATTCCAGGTATTTGGGATAGGGAAAATCAGTGGTGGTTTGGTAATTTGTATGTGGCTATAATACTCTTTAAAAATTTAAGTGGAGGTGAGCAGACGACCCACAAAATGCAGAACAATTATACCAGAGAAAGTCTTGCACTGTTAAGAAAGTTCTGGGACCTACAACAGATTTTCTAACCTGGGGATCTGGCAAAGGGACTGAGAACCCCCAGAGAATTTGACTTTGGACGCCAGTGGGATTTGATTACAGAAGTTACACAGGACTGGGGAAACAGACTTTTGGAGGGCACAGACAAGACCTTGTACACACCAGGACCCAGGAGAAAAGAGCAGTGACCCCACAAGAGACTGACCCAGACTTGCCTGTGAGTGTCCAAAAGTCTCCGACAGAGATGTGGGTTGGTGGTGGCCTGCTGCAGGGTCGGGAGCACTGAGTGCAGCGGTGCATCCACAGGACCTTTTGAAGGAGGTCGCCTTTATCTTCATTACCTCCACCATTGTTTGGTCTCAGGTCAAACAACACAAGGGAACACAGCCCTGGCCATCAACAGAAAATTGGATTAAAGATTTACTGAGCTTGGCCCTGCCCCTCAGAACAAGGCCCAGTTTCCCTCACAGTCAGTCACTCCCATCAAGAAGATTACATAAGCTTCTTAACCTTGTCCTTCATAAGGCAGACAGAATGAAAACCACAATCACAGAAAACTCATCAAACTGATCACACGGACCACAGCCTTGTCTAACTCAATGAAACTATAAGCTATGCTATGTAAAGCCACCCAAGGTGGATGGGTCATGGCGGAGAGTTCTGACAAAACAGTGGTCCACTGGAGAACGAAATGGCAAACCACTTCAGTATTCTTGCCTTGAAAACCCTATGACAGTATGAAAAGGCAAAAAGATATGACACTGAAAGATAAATTCCCTAGGTTGGTAGGTGCCCAATATGGTGCTGGAGAAGAGTGGAGAAATAACTCCAGAAAGAATGAAGAGACAGAGTCAAAGTGAAAATGCCCAGTTGTGGATGTGACTGGTGATGAAAATAAAGTCTGATGCTGTAAAGAGCAATATTGCTTAGGAACCTGGAATGTTAGGTCCATGAATCACGGTGAATTAGAAGTGGTCAAGCAGGAGATGGCAAGAGTGAACATCTATATTTTAGGTGAACTAAAATGGACTGGAATGGGTGAATTTAATTCAGATGACCATTATATCTACTACTGTGGGCAAGAATCCCTTAGAAGAAATGGAGTAGCCATCATTGTCAACAAGAGTCCGAAATGCAGTACTTGGGTGCAATCTCAAAAATGACAGAATGATCTCGCTTCATTTCCAAGGCAAACCATTCAGTATCACAGTAATCCAAGTCTATGCCCCGACCAGTAATGCCTGAAGAAGCTGAAGTTGAACAGTTCTATGAAGACCTACAAGATCTTCTAGCACTAACACCAAAAAAAATAGGTCCTTTTCATCATAGAGGACTGGAATGCAAAAGTAGGAAGTCAAGAGATACCTGGAGTCACAGGTGAATTTGGCCTTGGAGTACAAAATGAAGTAGGGCAAAGACTAACAGAGTTTTGCCAAGAGAATGCACTGGTCATAGCAAACACCCTCTTCCAACAACACAAGAGAAGACTACACATGGACAACACCAGATGGTCAGTACCAAAACCAGATTGATTATATTCTTTGCAGCCGAAGATGGAGAAGCTCTGTACAGTCAGCAAAAACAAGACCAGGAGCTGACCATGGCTCAGATCATGAACTCCTTATTGCCAAATTCAGACTTAAATTGAAGAAAGTAGGGAAAACTACTAGACCGTTCAGGTATGACCGAAATAAAATCCCTTACAGTTATACAGTGGAAGTGAGAAATAGATTCAAGGGATTAGATCTGATAGACAGAGAGCCTGAAGAACTATGGACGGAGGTTCATGACATTGTATAAAAGTCAGCGATCAAGACCATCCCCAAGAAAAAGAAATGCAAAAAGGCAAAATGGTTGTCTGAGGAGGTCTTACAAATAACTGAGAAAAGAAGAGAAGCAAAAGGCAAAGGAGAAAAGGAAAGATATACCCATTTGAATGCAGAGTTCCAAAGAATAGCAAGGAGAGAGAAGAAAGCCTTCCTCAGTGATCAGTGCAAAGAAATAGAGGAAAACAATAGAATGAATGGGAAAGACTAGAGATGTCTTCAAGAAAATTAGAGATACCAAGAGAACATTTCATGCAAAGATGGGCTCAATAAAGGACAGAAATGGTATGGACCTAACAGAAGCAGAAGATATTAAGAAGAGGTGGCAAGAATAAACAGAAGAAGTATACAAAAAGATCTTCATGACCCAGCTAACCACGATGGTGTGGTCACTTACCTAGAGCTGGATATCCTGGAATGCAAAGTCAAGTGGGCCTTAGGAAGCAGCACTATGAACAAAGCTAGTGGAGGTGATGGAATTCCACTTGAGCTATTTCAAATCAAAAGATGATGCTGTGAAAGTACAGCACTCAATATGCCAGCAAATTTGGAAAACTCAGCAGTGGCCACAGGACTGGAAAAAGTCAGTTTTAATTCCAATCCCAAAGAAGGGCAATGCCAAAGAATGTTCAAGCTACTGCACCATTGCACTCATCTCACATGCTAGTAAAGTAATGCTCACAATTTTTCAAGCCAGGCTTCAACAGTAAGCGAACTGTGAACTTCCAGATATTCAAGTTGGATTTAGAAAAGGCAGAGGAACCAGAGATTAAAGTGCCAACATCCATTGGATCATAGAAAAAGCAAGAGAATTCCAGAAAAACATCTATTTCTGCTTTACTGACTATACCAAAGCCTTTGAATGTGTGGATCACAACAAACTGTGGAAAATTCTGAAGGAGATGAGAATACCAGACCACCTGACCTGCCTCCTGAGAAATCTGTATGCAGGTCAAGAAGCAACAGTTATAACTAGGCATGGAAAAACAGACTGTTTGCAAATCAGGAAAGAAATCCATCAAGGCTGTCTGTTGTCACCCTGCTTATTTAACTTATATGCACAGTACATCATGCGAAATGCCAGGCTGGATGAAGCACAAGCTGGAATCAAGATAGCTGGGAGAAATATCAATGACCTCAGATATGCAGATGATACAAAGACCCTCTATGAAAGTGAAAGAGGAGAGTGAAAAAGCCGGCTTAAAACTTAACATTCGAAAAACTAAGATCATGGCATCTGGTCCCTTCACTTCATGGCAAATAGATGGGGAAACAGACTTTATTTTCTTGGACTCCAAAATTACTGCAGATGGTGACTGCAGCCATGAAATTAAAAGATGCTTCCTCCTTAGAAGAAAAGCTATGACCAACCTAGGCAACATATTAAAGAGCAGAGACATTACTTTGCCATCAAAGGTCCGTTTAGTAAGAGCTATGGTTTTTCCAGTAGTCATGTGAGATGTGATAGTTGGACTATCAGGAAAGCTGAGTGCCGAAGAATTGATGCTTTTGAACTGTGATGTTGGAGAATACTCTTGAGAGTCCCTTGGACAGCAAGGAGTTCAAACCTGTCAATCCTAAAGTAAATCAGTCCTGAATATTCATTGGAAGGACTGATGCTGAAGCTCCAATACTTTGGACACCTGATGCAAAGAGCTGACTCATTTGAAAAGACCCTGATGCTGGGAAAGATTGAGGGCAGGAGGAGAATGGGACAACAGAAGATGAGATCAGTGGACAGCATCACTGACTTGATGAACATGAGTCTGAGCAAGCTCTGGGAGTTGATGATGCACAGGGAAGCCTGGCGTGCTGCAGTCCATGGGGACACAAATAGTCGGACACAGCTGAGCAACTAAACTGAACATTTTCAAATGGGAGAAAACCATCAAGTACTTTTTTTGTGTGTCAATAGAGGAATCAACCTAGTTATTTATATCTAGCAAAACTAGCAGACTTTGCTCTGTGTCAGAAAGCAAGTCAGGGGCAATTCCCTGGGAGTCCAGTCGTTTGGACTCTGCACTTCCACTGCAAGGGGAATGGGTTCAGTCCCTGTCAGGGAACTAAGGTCCTGCATGTCCAGCAGCATGTCCAAAAAAAGAGAAAGCAACAACAGGAACAACTTATTCAATAATGATTACCCTAAGCCACATCTTTTAAATGGCTTTATTTTGTTATTTAACTTAATTTTATATTGGAATATAATTTATACTTGATCTTAGCCAAAAGGCTGAGAAGCAATGGAATATAATTTATAATGTGTTAGTTTCAGATTTACAGCAAAGTGATCAGATATACAGTTATAGATATACATATATCTATTGTTTTTCAGCTTCTTTTCCCATGGAGTAGAGTTCCCTGTTCCATACAGTAGGTCCTTGTCGATTACCTATTATATATATAGTAGTATATATATGTTAATTTCAGACTCTTAACTTATTCCTCCCCCCATCTCTCCCCTTTGGCAACCATAAGTTGAAGTCTGTTGCTGTTTTGTAAATAAGTTCATCTATATCATTTTTTTTTAGATTCCACATGTGATGTCATATGATATTTATCTTTCTTTGACTTAGTTCACTTAGTATAATAATCCCTAGGTTCATCCATGTGGCTGCAGATGGCATTATTTCATTCTTTTTTATGGCTAATATTCCATTGTGTATATGTGCCACATCTTCTGTATCCATTTCTCTGTTGATGGACATTGGGTTGCTTCCATGTCCTGACTATTGTAAAGAGTGCTATAGTAAACATTGGAGTGCATGTATCTTTTTAAATTATGGTTTTCTCCAGATTCA